ACACCCCCCCCCCCCCCCCCCCCAACTCCAAACAGATAATATTAAGCCTTGTCTACCTTGAAAATATTTAAAACAGTGGGACTTACGTGACAATTTTCCCAAATGATAATTTCTCAGGTACCACATATAGTGTCGATGGTCACAGTTCGATTAAAAAGAATCTTCACTATGGCAATATCATTGTTGCACTGACCTGTGCTGAGGCTGCTAGGTTGAGATCAGTTCAGTTGTCCTCAGTGTGATGATAATCCAGGAAACACACCTTCGTCTCTACTGAAAACAGATAATACATCATCAATAAAAAATATATTTATAGACATGTACAGTGGTTATAACACAGATGTTACATCGACCAAAATATGTTATTATATTATAATATAATTATAATAGAAGCATACAGTGACAATAGACATATATAGACAGTGATTAGAATACATACAGACACATTCAACGTCACAACACACAAAGCACAGGCATCAGAATGTATGCATGAAATTTTCTTTATATCAAGACTTTTGCTAAAAAATCTTTGTACTCTCCCCCCCCCCCCACCCCCAACTCCAAACAGTTCACATTAACCCTTGTCATCTTCAAAATATATCAAACAGACTGGAAACTAAGTGACAATTTTCCGAAATGATAATTTCTCAGGTACCACATATAGTGTCGATGGTCACAGTTCATTTAAAAAGAATTATCAGTATGGCAATATCATAGTTGCACTGACCTGTGCTGAGGTTGCGAGGCTGAGATCAGCTCAGCTGTCCTCAGTGTGATGATAATCCAGGAAACACACCTTCTTCTCTACTGAAAACAGAATACTGAATACATCATCAATAAAAATTCAAAAAATTAAACGAAACTTACCGAAGTTGAAGTTTGATTGTAATTCTACTTTATCGCTGGAAAGGAATGTAGGAATCACATGAGATAGCGCAGGCGTATCGGACTTCAGTTTTGAACGCAGGTAATCCAAAGTGTAATCTAAAGTGTACAACATGAAGGCCTATTGTAATGATCGCTGCTGTCTGAAAACTTCTTGAAAAAATTGTGATGAAGTAGAATTACAATCAAACTTCAACTTTGGTAAGTTCGGTAAGTTTCGTTAAATTTTTTAATTCTACTTCATCACCGTCAAGTCATTACGGAACCACATGAGATTTTAAAAGCTCTGAGTCCATTGTGATTACCCCACATAAAATTAAAACAAGACCTGCAGCATAAATTCGATATGTGTATTTTGTGTATAACACGAAACTAATATAGTACATTTTAAAAACACTGAATATTGTAATATCTTTCAGTCACCATTTAGCGTCTGTTTTGTTTATACATAAGTAATATAATATTAATGTCCACTGTTTGCTGTAATAAAGCTTCAAGCTTTTGTCATTGCTTCTAAAACTTTGGAGTCCATTTTGACAATCTGTTTAGTTTTATTATAGAACGTGGCAAATGTACTTGCATTGGCCCATCCAACATGCTTTAATATTTTGTCAATAGGGCATCCCATTAATGCTGCTGCTGATGTCGACCCGGCACATGTGCTATGTGCTGAATAAACACTAGTGTCTATCCCACTGTCGGCTAAAACTTGTTTAATCCAGCGAGAAATGATCTCTGTTGAAGCTGCCAAGTGCGGTTTTTGATAGCTGATAAACAACACGTTTGATTTTCTCAAAGGAGCTGTTTCAGTTACGTACGTCTGCAGATGGTGCACTATGCACAGGGATTTATCTGTATACCCTGATAATGCTATCTGGGATAGATGATGTCCTGGTTTGACTGGGCATCCTAGTAGTCTCTGTTGGGATTGATTTTTTACAAGAAATCAATAAATCAATGTAAATTACTCTTAAACGTCCAATTCTAACCAGGGCAAAGTCATGTTTGGGTCGCGTCGCAGCGTACGTAACAGAGGACGATTTAATAGCCCACAATTAAGAGGGATCATATATCACGCCTCTTTTCACACATGGTTGTGTTGCCGCAAGGCGAGAAACACCCCGCCTCACCCTATTTACATAAGACCACCCCTTCTTACTCATCGCTGCATGTGTGTAAGATGTACGTAAGATGTCCGTAAAATATACGTAAGTCGGCATTGTCCTTAGCTTACATATTTTCACACCATTCTTTTGTCCTCTTAAGGGGCGTATGTAAGACGACTTAATCGTTTTTGAAGTAAGCATATCCGTATTGTCATCTTCTCTGCACAAAACTGTATTTGATGCGCTTAGCCAAATTGATCTTTCGTTAGCCCACATCCAAATATTTCTTGCTATTGCATTACATTCCAAAGATCTACTGCCCCCCTTGCTCTCTTATATAAGCAACGGCAGTGGTGTTATCCATCAATAGTTTGATGTGAATGTTCTTCTTATCGTTACAGAGTGCTTAAAGTGAAAACTGAGCTGCCTGAAGCTCGAGAAAGTTTCATGATGAACAGACTCAGAATGTTTCCACTGACCACCTGTTTTGATGTTCAATTCTCGACAATAACAACCCCAACCCATTGTACTGGAATCTGTTTCAAGAGTCAGATCGGGTTTTTTTACTGTAACTGGTGCTTTTGAGCCTTTTAAGCAACTTATCCACCACTTTAAATTACTTATTAGCCATATCTGATATCTTAACTTTCACATCAAAGTTTCCTTTGGCATCTTTTAAAGCTGCTATTTTATCATTTTCCAACTCGCTGTAGAAAAGTTTCCCATTGGGAACAGCAGGGAAGGTCGCAACTAAATTTCCTATAATGGTGCACAACTCTCTTATAGTTGGAGACATTTTCTTCAAGAAAGAATGACAAAGATCAATTATCTTGCAACTTTTGGAGTCAGATATTGCCACAGTCATATCTACAGAGTTCAGAATAAATCCTAAAAATTCTATAGATTGTGTGGCTTGAAACACTGATTTTTCCGGATTTATAACAAAGCCACATTGAGTAAGCATTTCAATCGTAGCTTTGACGTTTTTGTTGCAAGCTTCAATGCTCTCTCCTTGTAAATATGTGTCATCTATATATACTACTTAAGCAAGAGAAAATTGGCTTAAGAACCTGGTGAAGACCCTGGGGCTAATATTGAGGCCCATTGGACACGCCCTGTACTGGTATAACTTTGATTTCCATTGGAATTTTAAGTATTTTTGATATTTTTCAGAGACAAATATGCAATAATATGCATCAGAGAGATCAATACTTGATTGCCAGCAGTTAGGCGTCATCATTTTTATTGCTGTTTGCAATGAATCCATTTTAAAATGGTGATTATCAATGCACTCATTTAACTCTTTTAGATTACAAATGAGTCGGTATTTCCCGCTCTTTTTTCATTCTCAAAAAGATGGGTGAAATTAATTTACCAATTTCCATTGGAGATTCAACGATAATTTTCTTTTGTAATTACCTCCGTATTTCCTTTTCTATTTCTACGGTTTCAGAGGCATTGAATTTTGCCTCCCTTATTGGCCTTGCCTGCACTGGCATTACATGGAAATCTATTTCCATGCCTTCAATTATTCTTAATATTTCTTTGTCGGAGGTTATGGATTTCCATGTGTTTATAAAATACCATAATCTGCCTCCTTCAAAAGTAAGAATATTATTGTTAGCCTTTTTAATGGCATCTATAATAAACAGTGAAAATTCACTATTAAATGTTTCTAGAGTCCTCACCTTCGTAGTATATAGGTTCTACTCTTTCTTGAACTTCTTTCCCCTTCTCACGCCACTCGGCCCTGGTTTGTTGAACCAGTCCTGGGGGTGTCCCTCTTGGGAAATGTAACCCTGTCCGTGCCAGGGGTTGTACCCCGGCCTCCTCGAGTTTTTTGGCTGGTGCAGATGGACCGCGATCTGGCCCACCTTGTCCATTTCCTGTATATAAAACAAATAATACATCATCAATGAAAAATATATTTATAGAAACATACAGTAGTTACCACACAGAAATTACAGAGACCAAAATACATTGTTATATTATAATTAAAACATACTGCGACAATAGACAGAGACAGTGATCAGAATACATACAGACACATTCAACGTCACAACACACAATGCACAGGAATGTATACAAGAAATTTTGTCTATATCAAGATTCTTGCCAAGTGAATCCTCACACCCCCCCCCCCAACACCAAACAGGTAACATTAAGCCTTGTCACCTTGAAAATATTTAAAACAGTGGGAACTAAGTGATAATTTTCCAAAATGATAATTTCTCAGGTACCACAAATAGTGCCGATGGTCACAATTCGATTAAAATGAATAGCAACATCATTGTTGACATCAATAATATATTTACAGACACATACAGTGGTTAATAACACAGAAATTACAGTGACCAAAATACATTATTATATTATAATAAAAACATACAGTGGGACCGACGTGACAATTTTCCAAAATGATAATTTCTCAGGTACCACATATAGTGTCGATGGTCACAATTCCTCTGAAAAGAATCATCAGTATGGCAATATCATTGTTGCACTGACCTGTGCTGAGGTTGCGAGGTTGAGATCAGCTCAGCTGTCCCCAGTGTGATGATCATCCAGAGAACACACCTTCCTCTCTACTGAAAACAGATAATACATCATCAATAAAAAATATATTTATATACACATACAGTATAGTTAAAAAACAGAAATAGCACAGTCTAGCAGCCCAGGACGGCTCAATTATCACCCGGGCGGTCCCTTTCCAAAAGTTGCCAGTCCGTCGGTCTGGCAATTTTCTGGCCTCTAAAATAATTGTATATCAATATGCACGTTCATATTAAGCAGATTTGGTTGAAATAAAACGAAAACAATGAGGCTCATCCTTCTAGAAATCAACACTGCTCTCAACAAATGAACGAAATCCGAAAGTAGGCCCTAAGTACATGCTTATTCACCGTTTTCCCAGCATGCCTAGCGCAAAGACCCTTCACCGTGTTATGAAACGTCTGATACAAAGTATCAAATGTGGCATTTATATGCTAGTTTAGGGGACACAATGTGTGGTCATTCAAGTTCAGAACAACACAATCTCGTCTAATTACGCAGTTAAAGTTTTGATGCTTCTATAATCTGTAATTGTAATTGTACGATGTCTGTCCCCCCCCAAAAAAAAGATAAAAAATAAATAAATAAATAAATTGAATGACGTCACGACGCATGTTGATTATACAAGATTCCGAAGTCAGCATTACCCCTGTCGCAGTCTACCCCCTGTAAGTATTTTGGTGCTAACAATGAATGCGATGCCCCAGCACGTAAGAAAAGAACACAGGAAGATTACAGACAGTCAAATAAAGTGTATGATGACACCAAAGCAGGGCTCCACAGGTAAAAATTCAGTTCGGACAAGTGAATTTGCAGGGTGGGCTGTCCAACGGACACGATGTTTTATTAGAACTTAAGAACAAAAATCTTGAAAAAGAAATTTTTGTTGCATACTAACGTCTTCTCGTCTCTTCCTGGATGGCATTAAAAGGAGTGACCTACATTGGTACAAAACATGTGGTCCCAAAACGAAGTCTAAGCAAACTTACTGCCAAATTATGAAAGTGAACACCTTCCAGAACTTCACAAAACAAAATTTATATTCACATAACAGGCTGACTACTGAGTATTTATTTGTTTTAAAATCTACCTGCAATAAAGACCGTTTTTAAAATAGAAACTACACAAGTACTGGGTACATCAGATTGGACTGGATGAACTGGATGCATCTAGTTTGTTGTCAAGGCAACATACTGTCTGTCAATCAAATGTGTTGTAGGCTATCTCCTCACAACCATTTGAAGTTGGAAAGTCAAACTTTGGGACTGAAGATCTTGTTGAAATGTTTATATTTGCATAACCTGAAATTTTGTAAGATGTTTTATTTAATGACTCTAGCACCACCTGTGTTATTTACAGTTCAAAATTTAGTGCTGGAATTTGATAAATTAGCAAAGCTGTCACAAGTGTGATACTGATGTAAGGAAAAAAATTAGTAATAAAAATATTAGAATTTAAATAAAAAGAAGGGGAAATTTTTTTAATGACTGATTTCATTTAATTCATATATTTAAAAAAAATTAAACACGTTACCCCTAAAAAGAGCAAATTGTTAATATAAATATCAATTTAAAAACTTTAATATTAGTGATATTTATATAAGTAAACTATTATACAATGAATATTCTTCAATTTTTAATGAAATTTATTCAAATATTATAAAATTTGAATATTTTAATTAAATAATATAACACTGCCCCCCCCTCCACACCTCACAGTATTTTTTAAAGACTTGGTTAAACTTCATGTAAATCTGATATCAAATTTCAGATTTACAATAAGTGGACCCTGTACCCCAAACCCTGGGAAAAGCCCTGATTGAAGTCATGTTAAATCAGACTTATAGGCAAGATTAAATATTCAGGAGTTCACAAGTATGAAAAAATGACTTTTTATCTGAAAATAAATCCACTGCATTTTCCAGGCTCATTTGACTGAATATCTTGGTAATAAATACATTACATGTATTACACATATTAATGTTTACAAAGTTCACCGAGAGGTATGAATGGAAAGAAATTTTGGTTTTGTTGGACAGATTGGATTCAAAATAGGACACGTCAAAGGACAGGTGCTCATTAAAGTTAGTGTCTAGTCCTGAAATAGGAAAAGATCAGTTGTGCCATCATGGAAAACTGAATTTTCTTGGTTAATTTGTGATGAGACTGATAGTAAAAATGTCATTTGTAACAAGCAGGTCATGCAACTAGACTGATTATGACAGACACATGCAGTGAATCACACTTTTCCGATTTGGGTTCAGAGCATAATGTTTCAGATGCTGACAGTGAAGAATCTACTTGAATTAATTCACTTTGAGACTAAGAGTCCTTGTTTCAATATTGTTCTTGCCTGCAATTGGGTTAATCAGGTAATTTTCAAAAAAATTCAGGACTGGCTACTTTTGGCCAGGGCTGGCTACATTTCAAAGTTGCCAGTCCTGCTGTCCGGCTTCAAATTTATACGAATTTCATACCCTGGTTTTCCACTTATCGTGTTATGGCTGTTGCATATATACTGAAGACGTGAAAAAACAGCATAACTTTAAAAAAATGCTTGATCCTACTGATTTTGAACTTGACCTGCATTTTATAAATATCCATCTGTAAGTTTCAAGCACAAAAAAAAATGTGTTCTACTTAGTCTTATCCTGTTATTGTGAAAGTGCATTGTAACGACAGACGCAGATGTGTCTGTACATAAACAACTTAATTTTCACAAAAAGTTCACAGGAAAGAACATTGCAGGGTTTGACTACTGGGCTTATGAGACTAAATTTCAATATTTGCATGTTTGGATAACTTTATTTTGTTTAGTTTGTTGAAAATCAATTTTAAGATTTATTGAGCTTTCTGAGCACTAAATTCTCTCTCTCTCTTCTCACAGAAACACACAAATACACACACTCTCTCTCACATACACACACCCAGTAATTTTTTCCTACAGACACTTAATTTGAATAATATGGAGATTTTACATTAAGTGTGGTCTCTCTCTCTTCTCACTCTCTCACACACACACACACACACACACACACACACTGTTTCACTTTCTCTCTCATAAACACACAAACATTCAATCTGGATAGCCACCAATCCCTTCTCCCCCAGAAAGCACACTATTCAAATGATTCTATATTGCAATTATAAATACATTTCTCCCCAGGTGAAGTATACCGTGGAGATTTGTCCTTGGGACTCTCATCAATACAGAATAAGCTTTTCAGTTATTTTTATACCCGGCACATAATTTAATACCTAATTTTTTCATAGTCCTTCATTTGATTTATTTTGATTTATTTATTTTTTTGTAGCAAATTGAAGTTCCTGGAGCTTCTAATATTAAACTCTCCCTCTCTCTTTCTCACACACAAACACACACACACACACAGACACAATCACACCACACCAGGGCATCATTGACATTTAATGAAGACTTCAGCTTCACTGTAATGTGCTGCTGCCAAGTGGACAAAGCAAGCATTACATTGTAAAATGCAGCAGAGGGGAAGGCATGCAAAACTGACCTCAGGCTGTAAGATGTCACCTTGAAATAGAAAAGAACACATCAAACTAAAGGGAAATGAAGGAATGATTTTCTATAATTTATTGAAAAAATTTCACTTAGAATAATCCAAAATAGAAAAAAACTCTCAATTTTCACTTACATAAGAATCTTTTTGCTTAAAAATTACTACATAAGGCCGCCCAGAAGTGATTACATCATGTATTTATTCATCCCAGTCACTGAAGAATTTTCCCCTCCCCTGTTTTTTTTTTTTTCAGATTCCTCCACTGCTATCCACACCTTGTTTACAGTCCCCGTTAAGAATTAAAAATAAAGATATTCTGGGGTGGCGCTAGCAATTCTTTTCGTTTAGCCAAAATACTACTTTTTCATCTTTTTTTGTGTCCAAATGGTTTAAATTTGACTAAAATAAGTCAAATCAACCCTATTTTGTTTAGCCAATTTCAGTCAGTTTTAGCATTTGGCTCAATTGGTGAGTGATAGCGCTACCCCAGATATTCTCCAAAAGGCACAATAGACAAGCCAGTAAAGTTCAAGGGAATAACGATCCAATACAGAAAACTAGATAAACTTAAGGAAGCAATATATATATATGACTCCTGTGATTTTCTAGACAATAGGCCTATTGGTTTTTCTTGAAATGTGTTGTCAGTGTTATATATATGCTGACAAAAGAGAAAACTTAGGGGCAACACTGGGCATATATCTGTTAGTTTTGAAGATATGACGGGCAAGAAAATTTGCAAAGTGCAGTTTATCATGAAAATTAGGTCAAATGTCAATTTCAAGGTCACAGATTACCAGTATATGACTTCCTATTCAACTTCAATAGTAACTATAGAGCCATTTCTGCCAGCTTTGAAGATAAAATGGAGTTAAATGTTGCAAAGTTCAGTTCATGGTGAAAAATAGGTCAAAGGTCAATTTTAAGGTCACAGTTTGATTGCCAGTATATGACTTCCTATTCAAGTTCAATAGTAACTATGGGCGTATCTCTGCCAGTTTTGGAGATAAGGCCACACTTTTTTATTTTTATGGATGACATCCTGCGTGCGCACCGATTTTCGTCCGTTCTCAGAAAAAAAAAACTCACCCCCAATGGAGTTGGTTGAGAGCAAACATCCTTCTTGAATTTTGCCGGAAAATGAGCTTTCTGCGCATGCTGTTTATCGCCAATAGCCGATTTGCTGTGAAATTCATCTCTAGGATTACTGTCAAATTACACGACAATTAAAGTCATTAAGAGGACGGACACCGTCGTTTTAGATTGGTATGCCATTGATACTGCATGACTTTTTAACATTTCTGTGAAGTGTTCATAATGCTTTAATATTCTGAGAGCACAAATAAAGACACACTGTTTGTTTAATATTTGTTTTATTGATTGGTATACCAACAAAATGCATAAAATAACCTTAAATAGACTTGGAAATATGCAGCATATCTATTCATGACTTTTTTTT